GCCTCGCCCTGCAACTCCGCCGCGAGTGCCAGCGCCTCGGCCCCGACGCCCGGGCCGCTCCGCAGCCCCACGGTCGCCATGCGCACCCTCAACGCACCCGAGTGGGGACGGGGCGGGATCCCACTGTCCCGGCTGCCTAAGGGAGCGGAAGGGCGGGGCTGACGCCGCTGGCTGCGGCTGGAGCCCGGGGCGCGCCACTCTAGGGCATCGCGGAGCGTGCCAGTCGGCCTCAGAAGGCTGCAAGTACCCGGAGGCGCCCAGCGCCTCGGCTCAGCGCCGCACCCCCTCAGTGCCCAACCTCGCCGTCCAGGTCCCGTGGCACCCTCAATGCGTGGTCCTAGAAGCTCGCTCAACCCCGTCACAGGTTTCCCCTGGTTGCCCCAGCTTGACCCAGTCAGCAATGGGAAACAGGCCTGGACAGGTGGACCCACACCACCAGCTGGGCGCCCCTCCAGGTGGCCAGCCAGGGCAAGGACCTGGCACTCGCCTCGGGGTGTCATGTTCCCGGAGTGCAGGTTTGTCCCGGCCCTGTGCTGAGCTAAATTTAGGGTCTGGAACCTGGCCCTTGCCACCCAGCGCCAAGCCTGGCCTTGTATCCGCTTCTGTAGTTACCTTTCCAGTATTTACCCTACCCCACCCCCCGTTTAATCTTTAATTTTTGTTTTTGAACAAATAATACATTTAAAACCGATGTTCTTACTTGGTGTTAACCTTCCACTCAAATCCCTGCCCTTTCTTGTTCTCCCACCTCATATCCTGGGGGTGGGGAAGAGGGTGGGGAGGGAAAGAATCCCCATTTGAGGAGGATGGCCCCCTGAAAGAACAAGTAATATTTGCTACTGCCTAGATCCTCAACCCTTCTGGAGGGACACTCGGCCCAGGCTTCTGCAGACACACTCCTCAAAAAGCAGCCTTGTTTGTTTGTTTTTTGTTTTTTGTCAAGGTAACCAGTGACCTCATGATTCCGACCCAAAGGACTCGTCACCTCCCCTCCCCTCTCCAACTCTTCCCACACCCTTTCTGAGGGCCCTGCCAGGCTCTGCTCACACCTCTCTGGTCTGTTGTGGTTTCCTTACCGAGCTTGTTTGTGGTTTCTTCTTCTCCCTGCCTTTGCTCAGTCCTGGAACCTCGCTATCTCTACTCCCACTTTCTTGGCTTGAAGATCCTCCCTGCTGACTCCACAGTACATATTTTCAGTCCCGGATGCCTGGCTCCCACATCCAACTCCCACACATCTCCACCTATGTGTTCCTTTAAAAATTTTTTTAGAATAACTTCACAAAGTCCTGTTTATTGTTGGACAAGTTCACACATACACTAAACAGGCCAAAATAAACACATAAGCAGCAACTTCATTAAGGAGGGGAGGGGAGGGGAAGAACACTTTTATCTTTGTTTTTTTAACCATCTTATACAAATGAACTACTTATAGTACAACTACATACCTACACACACACAGAAGTTACTGGGAGGCTTAGAATGAGATTTGTTATTATCACTTTTGCTTTATTTTTTGCAAGTTTTTTCCTCCTTTGAGATTATTATGAATATGATCACACCACAAGTAAAGTCAGAAGTAGACAGAAACCTCCGAAAGTTGGTCACCTGAGATCATGAAAAATAGCTAATCATACCAAAGGCGCAAAAATATAAAATATAGATGGAAAGTGTAAAGATTTTCCTTTTCAATGTACTTTTTTTATTATTATTACAAAGTTTATTTTTACATCATTTTGCACATTTTTTTTTTCCATCTCGATTGTAATCCCCGTGGGTTTCCCATCACCAAATCACCCCTGTGCCACCACCATCAATGTACTTTTAAGAAAAAGAACAGGGCTGTAGAATTTTTGGTGCAAATTCACGTTCTGGTTTTGTCATTTTGCGGGTGGTGCTGCCTAAGTGGGTGGGCGGTGGGCCCTCTACCCCAAGGTCACTGTGTTCAGAGCCTGAGAGGGGAGGTGGAGAGGGAAGAGGTCGGTCTCTTTGTTTATTTAAGTTTAATTTTCCTTTCTAGCTGTCCAGTCACGCTCATCGGTTCTCTGCTTCTTGGTGTCCACATTGTCATCCTCATCTAAAGCTGCGCGTTCGCCTGGAGCCGCCAGGGCCTCTTCGTCTTCACCTCCCCTCTTCCCTCTTCCTCTCCGTCGGCCTCGTAGTCGGCCTGCCCCCCCCCCCGCCCCGCGCCCCGCATTCCTCACTAACTTTCCCACTATCAGGGTTCCCCTTCCTTCTCGGACTCCCCCACTTCTTTCTTCTAAGTCGCAGTGCTGACCCCAGAGCCGAGGCACGCGGCGATCCCAAGCAGCGCAGAAGGAAGCGAGTTGGCTTTTTAAACTGTCTCATAGGACAGCTAAGTCCATACACCAAAAAAAAAGTTACTGGGAAGCTTGGAATACGACTTGTTATACCGTTTTTTGCCCCTTTAAGCGAGAGGACTCTGGCGCTATCTGCCGGGGTCTGCCGGAGCGGAGCCGCGCGCCCCCAAGGTGGCGGCGGGCGCTCGGGAGCGGGACCCGCGAGCGGAGCCCAGGCGGCTTTTCCCAGACACAGCCTCAGCTCGGTGTCCTGAGGCCGTCAGGCCATCACAGTGCCTTCCACTGCGCTTCTGGCCTGCAGCTTCTACAAGACTTGTTCAAACATGCCCCCTCTCAGTGACGCCTGTTTAAAATCACGCCTGACGCACTCCCTCGCGCAAGGCCGACTCTTCTGGCACGCATCTTCCTCTTCTGCGAGGCGAACTGTCGGTTCGGCAGGTACAGAGCGGTTCACTGTGACATGTTGCCCATCGGCTACGTCCCAGTTCCCTCCCCACCCCAAGCAATCAACTTGGAGGCTCTGGACTTAAGACAAAGATTGTATAATTTACTATATTCCCCCCTCCCAATTTTTTTAATTTAACAAACGTAGCATCCTATATACTGTTTCCTTATTGCACTTTTTCGGATGACATCTATTTTGGACATCGTGCAAGATGATTTCCCTTTTTACTCCCCACCACTGGTCTCAGATGTTTATCGGACCCTTCTCTGCCCCAAGGCGGAGGCCACTTGTGGTCTGTTCACTTGCACTTACTAGAGGAACCTAGACAATTCCCGGCGCTGAAACGGAATTATACCATGTAGAAAACTTCCCATCTGGCCAGCACCTTCCGCTGTGAAATGACTAAGTGAGCAGAAAGATGACTCTCCATCAAGGGGGGATGTAGCTCAGTGGTAGAGCGCATGCTTTGCATGTATGAGGCCCCGGGTTCGATCCCCGGCATCTCCAGGCTGACCTGCGTTTTGCCCTTTTCTTTTTAAGCCTCGCCATTTCATAAGTCGAGCAAAACCCGAAATTCCAAGAATGCTCCTCTGGGGAGGCGCTGAGGCGGCCTCCAATCCATTCCGAGTCTATGGGACTACCTTTAAACACCTAATTAATAAATCACAAAATGAGTGCGACCGAGGCGTCTAGATGCATGTTTTCTCTCCGCGTTTTATGCTTTAAGAGTGCAGAAAAGGATTAGATAACCTGATAAAGTAAACAGAAAAGGAAAAGAAGTGGGAGGAACGGTCAGGCACTAACAAGAGAGTTTGAATTTTCCGAACTATAAAGAACCCTTTGATAGCCGGTTTATATTTTAACTATTAAGTTCAACTTCCAGTGTGGATTTGGGAGTAGCCATATTGAACCCTGTAGTAAGAATTGTCAAACCGCTTCGCCGGCCGCCCGGCTAGCTCAGTCGGTAGAGCATGAGACTCTTAATCTCAGGGTCGTGGGTTCGAGCCCCACGTTGGGCGTAGACCTTGCTTTTGTTTTCAAATTTCCACTTTTCCGTTAAGAAAGCTTATGGTTTGTAGGTCTTAATGAAAATGACTCATAAGAAATATTTGGTCCTAGCCCAAAAATAGATGACTGGATTAAAAAGATGTGCTACATATATGCAATGGAATATTACTCAGCAACCAAAA